GACGTCGCCGCCGGTTCCGGCGCGGGCGGCGTCCTTGCGGCAATGCTCTTCACGAGAGGCCCCGACGGCAGGCCCCTCTTCTCCGCCGAGGAGGCACTCCGCTTCCTCGCCGAGAATCGCCGGGGAATTTCAGCTCCGAGCGAAAAAGGAATCTTTAGAGGAGTATTCCGTCATAAATCGGACGGAATATTCCGTCGTCTGTTTAAAGACTCGACGCTGAGAGATACATTGAAGCCTGTGTTAGTACCGTGCTACGATCTGAAGACGGGAGCGCCGTTCGTTTTCTCGAGAGCCGACGCGGTGGAGGCGTCGGGCGGTGGGGATGAGATCGGTCGACGGAAAGACGTCGATCGTGGCCGTCGGCGGAGGAGTGGCGATGGCGAACCCGACCTCGGCGGCGATCACGCACGTGCTCAATAACAAGCAGGAGTTTCCGTTTGCTAACGGAGTTGAGGATATTTTGGTGGTCTCGTTGGGCAACGGAGATTTCGACACCGTCAGATGCCGTAACGGATCGTCAACGCCGTCAAGGGCGGAGCTGGTGAAGATCGCGGGGAGCGCATCCGCTGATTTGGTACGGACGCTATTAACGCTTTGTCTCCCGCTCTTAGCCGCAGTAATTTACCGAAACGCCCCTGGATCTTGAGCCCCAGTGGTATTTTCGTAATTAACTTATAGTTTCTCACTGCTGAATGGATAAAATCTCAGGTGGATCAAGCGGTCGCGATGGCATTTGGTGCCCACAGGACGAGCAATTACGTTCGCATCCAGGTATATTACCTACGCGTAATTTTATTTTAGTCCCTTGCGTTTATTATTGTGAGGCTGGTACCCGCCAAATCATTAAAATTGATATCGCGTTACAGTTTTTTCCCGAAATTGTTTCAAGTTAATCACTCCAATCGGGAGTATAAATGCAATATATATCAGCATTTTCAAGGATGTAGGAGCTAGTTTTAAAATGTTAATAAAGCCCTTTATTTTTTAGACAAAGTTATAAAATTACATAAAACAACCTCTAAACGTGAATCCTTAATTTTCAGGCCAACGCAGAGGACATGCTCTCTCATCGCAACATCGAATCGGTACTATTTCGAGGAAAGAAAATCTCAGAACAAAGCGATGCCGATAAGCTCGAAACGTTTGCTGAGCAACTAATAAAAGAGCAGCAGCGAAGGAAATCGAGCTCGATTCCTACGGTCTTCATCAAGCAAGCTGCAATGACACCGAGATCGTCTTCAGCTACGATCTCTACTGTGACCACGGCCATTACCTCATCGTCGGTAGACAGTGACTGAAAATGCTAAGGGTGGTGTTGATTTGTAAATAGTGAAAACGGGTAGGATTTGAAAGAGCTACTGATTAATTATTATGTGGCACTTTGGGGATGGAGCAATTTGCATCGATCAATTGCGATGGGCATTTAAATTTAATTAGGACGGGGAGTGGCTACTGACCAATCGAGTTGTTGTTGGTTTTAAAATGATGAGAGTTTATGTTTATTATTTTAGATATATATGACTGTAACTTTTTTTTTTTGGGGAATCTCTTTTTTATTGCTTCAATTTAAGGAACTTTGCATTTCCCATGGATAGTAACTTTCAGTCCAACTTAAATCTAGCTGAAATCCTAGTTCCAGCTTAAATCTAGCTGGCTCGTCCATATTCAGTTGGGCTATGGACATTGGACTCTCCAAATCCACGATAAAGATGTGCCCCCCAGCTACTCGTTATTGATTCTATTAGTTTCGTAGTTATTCAATTCCAGAAAATCTTTTGAATCGTGCTGCTCGTTGTCTAGCTGAACAAGCGTTATTAATTTATTTAGAACGTTAGTGTTTGGTTAGAGGTCTCTCCGTTTTCTTGTTTCTATTGATTCAATAATATCTTCACAGGTGGTCAGGTGGTGTACTCTTTTTTTCCGCTGCGTTTTTAACGAGGCAACACCTCTCCCTTAAAAAAAAAAAATAATAAAAAAAGGGAAAGAACTTAAATCAAAACCTTTTTCCTTAATTTCACAAACTCTCCTAAACCAATCTTTAGTTTTTTTTAATGGGTGAAATTAAACCAATCTTTAGTTACATACTTAAGCAAAAATATACATTTGTAGGAAAACTTTAAGTCACTTTTGTCCAACCAAGTACGAATTGAGACTAGTACTAAGTAAGGCATATGGATTGCAATTGAGCGGAACATTCCCCTTCTTGTCACGATTAGAATAAAAATTGAGAGTGATTGCTTCTTGAGTTACCCACGCCTTTGCTTCATTCTTGCTAATTGACCTATTTAGTTTGCCTTTCAAATTAATCATGAAGGAGAGCTTGGTTGAGAAGAGAAGGGGATCGATGTGACTTTGCCAAGAAAAATTGGCAAGCTTGTGAAACAATAGATAAAGTGCAGTGATACCACAAACATATGATGATAATGAAGAAAATGCCCAAATAAATCTCTACTTTCGTTTTTATTAACACGTTTACACTTATGTAGAACGTTCGTGTATTCATTTTTTTCCTTAACATTTAGGCCCACATATATCTCTAACAATATTCTGTAGGGTCACGACCATAAATCTAGAGATATTATTGTTAGCACGATACAAGATTGATCACATCATATATCTTTCCCAAGAGATTTGCTCCCTGAAGTATTCACATTATTTTGTCATTTTCACGAAGAACGCAACACTCTCGCTCAACTTATAACTCATCATATAAATTTTCTCCAGCATAAATTAATTTCATCCGGGCTCCTTCGCAACACGTACTCTGGCTCAGTTAACTGGAGCTCATAATAAAATTCCTCCAAGGCCAATTAGATCGAGCATGTTTGGATCGGATTGAAGGGGAATGAGGAGGGAAAACTGCTAAAAAGCTGACAAACTGACAGCTTTCCCATTCAAAATACCCGATCCAAACAACCCCTTAATTTCATCTGGGCTCTTTTTCAGGCCTTTTGTCAGGTAAGATACGAGTACTGACCGTATATTGGCCGTATTTGCGTTGTCCTTTATGAGCAAAGTGTCGGTGGGTCTCCATGTTGAGAGAGAGAGAGAGAGAGAGATTTGTTACAGTTATATATACTACACTGAAGTAACTATTACTTTGGTGATATATAAATTATTTTGTTACAGTACTGGGTACAGTGTGAATCTCAATCATATTCATACCTACCACTTGATGTAAGTTGTGCTTTGTTCTGTCGGGAACTTTTACTGTAATTAGTTCATTAAAAAGAGAAATTTGTTGTTAATTACTTGGAATCCAATGAAAAGCTACGAGTTAGGATTAAAGAGCCTAAACAATGCGGGCACGACTACGGTCCGATGCAACGTGGGCACGAACAAGTCGCATATGAGTTTTTGCCCCTCAATGAACAATACTTGAGTTAACTCGACTTGCTTTCCTTATAAGAAATTGGAAGTAAAACAAATGGTAAATTACACCAAACCCCGGAGCTCTCCCTTCACCGTTTTGTAGTAAACCCTCAGTAACTTTCAAAATCACAAGAAACAACTCTAAGAACTTTGAAAAATCAGACAAACCCCCAATAACTTTCAAAATCACACTAAACCACCAAAAACATTTACAATTATAGGAAATCACCAAATTTTTTTTCCACATTTTGCGAATAAGCCCTATAAATTAAAACAAAGAAACAACATAAAAATGCATTTTGAAGGATAATTTTAGAAATGAAAAAAAAAACAATTAGAGGTTGGGACCCTAATCTGATCATGAGCAAGCGGAAGATGAATGACAAAAAAAAAAACAGATTTCTATTTTTAGGATTAAAAAATATAAAAAGGTTATAAAATGTATTTTAATAATTTAAGTAATATTTTGGTCTTTTTAAGTCACATGGGTTGCAACTCACTGCGGGTGCCGAACAGTTGGAAGATTCCAATATGACTTCCACAGTCTTGGGTTCGATTCTAGACTAGATTATCAAAAAAAAAAAGGGAAAAATCTCTTCTAACCCAAAGTTTTACCCCCAATTATTTAAAAACCCACTCACTTTTACTCCGTAGCCGAGAAAATATCTGTAACCGTACCGTTAGGATACGAATATGGTTACTCAAATGGATAACCGATAGGATATGGTTACGGATATGGTTTTGTAGTGAAATATATGTATCCGTATCCGTATCTGAAATATCTGAATACATATTAGTCATACTCTAATGATAGTTTCGATTCTTAGATTATGGATTTGTGGTTAATTTTGATGATCAAGATGTCTAATCTTAACTTTTTAGTTATAATGGACATATTAACGAACTCTTTTGTATCATATGAACTATGTTTTTCTCAATACTATCTAGTTTTGTCATATCTGTTTTGTATCTGCATGCATATCCGCTTATATATCCGCATGTATATCCTTAACCGTATACGATTTTAACGGATATGGTTATAAAATTTTCTTACCAAGGTATATCTGTATCCGTATCCGAGATGGATAAGCGGATATGGATATGGTAAGCATCATATCCGAGCCGTATCCGGACCGAATGCACCTCTACCGCAAACGGATCGAATTCGGCTGTGTCAGTTGCTAATACTCGACGAGGCCGGTGTGTATGTTTTCCTATTTTAGACAATAAACCAAATAATTGAAATTATGATTTTGTAGAAATCGAGGTGGTTTTTGCCCCCAGTCAAATAATAAAAATTCATTTTAATTGAAATTATGATTTTGTAGAAATCGAGGTGGTTTTTGCCCCCAGTCAAATAATAAAAATTCATTTATAGGAAGTGGATGGAAAACACAAGAAGTGGTTTTTTCCTCAAATTTGGGTTTTCTCATAATTGGGGTTTTGAACCAAACAACCCCGTAAAAGAAAAAATTAAATAGCACTTTAATACCATGTAGTTACCTGTAAATATTGGCACTAGTGCTCAGGAAGGAAAAGCAGCAAATCCTTTTGATTCACCAAATCAGGAAGATATGTTAACTGAAAAACGTGCACAAAAACATGCACAGACAGTTATTGCTGTTCAGGTGAATGAATCTGGGACTGGAAAAGTAGCAGAATATGGGATAAATGCAATAAATGATTTACAAATCCATCAAGCTACACCAAGTGTTAATGCAACTGGTTTTTCCAGTATAAGCAGAGCAAAAATTGCAAGAAGAGCTTCTATAATCAAACCTCCTAACCCAGGTATTCAGTTATCTCTTTTCTCTTCATTGGATAATCCCTCATGTGTTGACAGGGGTGGGAGTTCTTTTTAAATGCACATTGCTATTTGGAACATAAGAGGATTTAATAAATCCTCTAAACACAAGATAGTGAGACAGTTTATTCAAGAATACAATCTCTCATTGTTGGGTCTTCTGGAAACTAAAATTCCTGGTAATAAGCTTCAAAGTTTGGCTATGAAAATAACAAAAGACTGGAAGTGGATTTCTAATGTTCATGAAGCTGGTAATGGAAGGATTTGGTTACTGTGGGATAGTGACATTCTTACAGTGCAAGAAATAATCTTAACAGACCAATACATTACCTGTCGGATAGAATCCAGAGATGGTAAATTCTCCAGCTTATGCACTATTGTCTATGCCCACAATCAAATGACAAGCAGGAGAATTCTTTGGAGTGATCTTTTAACTTTTAAAAGTAATGTTACTGGTCCCTGGGTTATTGGAGGGGATTTCAATGCAATCACTGGTTATGATGAGAAGATAGGGGGTGTATCTGTGTCAGAATCTGATATTGAGGATTTTCAGAACTTTATCATTTCCAGTCACCTTCTTCATCTGAAATCAACTGGATGCTACTTCACTTGGAACAATAAGCAAAATGCAAATACAAGAATTTGGTCTAGGTTAGACAGATGCTTAGTAAATGAAGACTGGATTCATCTATATACAACAAGCCAAGTTGAATATCTGCTACCTAGCTGTTCGGATCACTCTCCTGCTCTTCTAACCATTGAAGATGATATTATAACTGGTAAGAGGCCATTCAAATTCTTCAACATGTGGGTAAAGCATCCAGACTTCTTGCCTACAGTCAGAGCTATTTGGGAACAAAACATAGATGGTTACAAAATGTACAGTCTCCACTCCAAGCTCAAAATGCTTAAGACTGCTCTTAAAGATCTAAATAAGAAACACTATATGAATATCAGTGAGCAAGTTCTTAGAGCAAAAGATAGCTTAACTGAAATTCAAGGGCAACTGTCTGAGGATCTCTTCAATACTGATCTGATTAAAAGAGAAAAAGATTGTATCAAAAAATATGAAAGGCTTCTGGACTGTGAGTCATCTTTTTACAAGCAGAAAGCAAACATTAATTGGTGTCTAGATGGGGATAAAGGTACTAAATTCTTCCATTCCATCATGAAAAAGAAAAGGCATCAAAACAGAATTATATCTCTTTATACAGAGAATGGGACTAGGATCACTGACAGTGCTGATATTGTTACTGAAATTGTGGATTATTACAAAAAATTATTGGGGACTTCAATTCAAACAGTTCATCCTGATCCAATGGTTATTGCAAATGGCCCTCTTCTATCTTCTGATCAAAGTCAT